ACAGCCATGTAAACATGGGCACATAGTCTCCCCCCTTGGCTTTAAACCAAACAGCTGTCCTCCCTGAGCCTTAGAAAGGGGATGACGTTACTGTGTTCATCATAGGGTAGCTGTGGACCCTCCACGAGCCCCTGTGGTAAAGAAGTAATAAAGGATCTGGGTGTCAGGACCCTTGTTACTTTTTCTGTTGACACAGCAGTATTGTTGCTCGCTCTTAGAACCTCCTGGCAGTGCTAATAGCACTTGGGTTTCAGCCTTCAAAGGCCTGGATTCTTGTCCTGGCTTGCTAACGTTCCCTCCCTTGCTTTCTAGCTGCCATTGATAAGAGCATTAAATGCGGTAACGTATGTGAAGATGTGCTTTACTTTACTATAGGGGACTTTTTTTTGTAATGAAGGCCCTAGACCCACAGTGGGAGAAAATATTCAGGAGTCATACAAAAACAAGGTAACTTATTCATTTGGGGTTGGTTTATGTTTGAGAGAAACCTAGGAAAAATTTAGCAAATCGCTTTTATGTACATATATACTATATATATATATATATTTGAGAGGGTGTATGAGCAGGGGAGAGGAGAGAAGGAGAGGGAGAAGCAGACACCCCGCTGAGCAAGGAGCCCGATGCGGGACTCAATCCCAGGACCCTGAGATCATGCCCTGAGCTGAAGGCAGATGCTTAACTGACTGAGCCACCCAGCTGCCCCACTAATCTGCTTTAAAGGAGACGACAGGGAGACATGAATCTTTACTTTTAAAATTAAAATTATGAAATATTTATTTTTTTACTTACACGTTGAGAGACAGACAGACATTTGAAGAAAGAGAAGGTATTGGCAGAGCCATGGCCAGCCAGGGAAGAAGCCCAGCAAGACATGGTGGGTAGAATCTGGTCTTACCTGACCTGCTCAGGTCCTCAAAGCCCAGCCCTGCTAAGGGAGTCTGCTGGACCTTCTCCAGAGTAAGAGTCACCTTAAGATTATCTTCTTTTATCTTTATTCTTTGAACCATGATGGTCACATAATCCCATAAGTTCTGTAATGAGCATTTTCCTTTGGACATACGAAAATCTTTTTTTATAGTGGGTTTAGTGAACTTAATATATTGTTGGCTTTGGAGACCTATGATATATAATAATAGCAATAACAGTGAATATTTTTTTAAATATTTTTGAATATTTTTTAAAAGATTTATTTGAGAGAGAGAGCTAGTGGGGGAGAGGGGCCAGAGGGAGAGGGAGAGCGAGAATCTCAAGCAGACTCCCCACTGAGCACGGAGCCCAACAGGGGGCTCGATCCCATGGCCCTGAGATCATGACCTGAGCCAGAACCAAGAGTCGGACGCTCAAATAACTGAGCCACGCAGGCGCCCCTAACAGCAAACATTTATGTGGTAAATGTGCCTATTATATGTCAGCCTTTATTCTGAGTGTTTTACACAATACTCGGTGATGTAGAGTGATAGTGTTTTGGTCCCTGTTTTATAGATAAGCATCTGAATTCAGCCCAAAGAGACTGAGTAACTTGTCGGAGGTTATTCAGACAATGAGTGGCTGAGCCAGGATACCAAGGCCCCATGCAGAGTTCACACTTGGTTGCCATGCCAGGCTACATAATGCCATATTTAGAGTCTTTACTGACTCCCCTCATGTCTAGTTTTACTGGAGTATTTAAAAATACTCTTCAGGCTTTCTTTCTAGAGACTTCTCCATCTTAACCCTCCTATAATCTTTCCTTAAGTAACCCCGCTCCCCACCAACAGTTGGTCTGCGTTCCAGTCTTGAGGTTGGGTAACTGGGATGAAATGCTATGGTTTGCTTCCTGCTGTCCAATGCTGACTGGATCTTCCTGAGGTTACTGTTCCACAGTGACTCACCCAAAAAGGAAAGTTCTCCAGGATGGAGGTCTTTTAGGATATTCCCGCTGAAAACTAGGAATACCATGACTTCAGAACTCGAGGCAGATCTGTCAAGAAGGGGTGCATGACAGACAACTCAGTGTGAGAAAACTGCTGAGGATCAGAAGGGCAATGAAACCATCAGACATCATTTCCTTTCTGCAATGTCAGCTCCTTTGTCATCAGCAAACCTTCACTAAGTAATTTTCTGAGAATCAAAAGGGGTTGGAACTTTCTCCTCTTATCACCTGGTATTTATAGATTTTTTCCTCTGTTGATTGAGCCTGCGTGCCCTTCTTCATGCCATATGCACTGTGGTACTCCTATGAGGGCAACCATTTTAAGCTGCTTTGCAATATTTTGAATAATCTTTTGACAGAAGTGGCTTCTTGGGATTTAGATGTCTTGGCCCCTCTGTACTTTGGTGTTAGCTATGGTTTCAAACTTAATTTTAAACAATAACAGGAAGATCCCTGTTTTCAAGGAAAACCATGCATACAACAGTAGTATTGGAAACAGATAAAAATGGTGCTGCTGTGGTCAGAAGGGTCTAGAGGGACCTGGAATTCCACCCCCCTGCACCACTGTCTTCCTCCCAATGTGGTAACAGTTGAAAAACTATGGACCTGTTGAATAAGGTCCAAAGTACTTATTTAAATATATACATAATTTTATTATGTAGGAAAACAAAGGAAATTGGGGCTATTTAGGTTAAACAGAATGAACTGTAATGAGGCTGAAGGCCTATTTCTTACTATTCCCTGTGGAACCTATCAATAAGAAAAGAACCAAAATCTCAACTCAGACTCTCTTGGCCACCAGCCCAGGACTCTTTCCAGTTTGTCATATTATGTTTCCTTTTATCCATAAGAACATTCACATACACCATCAAGGGGAAGTAAACATTGCTATTCCTGGGGGTTGTGAAATTGCTCTGTTTTGTGAAACTGCACAGAACTGATTTCTTCAGAATTCTTCTTTTGCTGAGATCCGTCATTCAAAGACGTCATTCATTCATTCCTCCCTCACTCCCTGTTTATTCTTCCTTCCTTCCTTCTTTCCTTCCTTCCTTCCTTCCTTCTTTCCTTCCTTCCTTCCTTCCTTCCTTCCTTCCTTCCTTCCTTCCATCCACCACTCATCCAATGATGTACAAGACAGATATGACGTCTCTGCCCTCACAGGGCTTACATCCCTTAGAACCCAATGTGGGATGATGCAGAAGGGATTCTGTAAATGTTTCTGGAACTGTTAGTAATACTGTAGAATTGCCGACCTCACTTTCTCCATCATAATCATATCACCATCATCAGTTTTTAGCAATGGAATAAATCCCCTTTTAATTTTTATTCCAACAAAATCTCAGCAGAGATCTTGGTTTCTGTCCTTGGTCCGACATGATTCCATATTCTGATACATGCTCATGTCCCAGCTGTAGAGACAACTAGGATAAATGTATAAAACTCCGGCCCTCGGACTTCAAAAACCACAGAAATGGTAACTAGCATCCTTTTTATGTCCTTTCAAGTCCCAAAGCGTGGTTCTGTAAACCACTAGAATGGGACAAGGAAATACCCTTGGTAGGATTTTCTCCATCTTAATCCAGACACCCATGTATTTTATTTTTCCTGTCCCAGTTGAGATGCAAAAGACCAAAACAACCCCTCCACCCCCTAAAAAGGAGACAGGACAAAGGAGTGTATACATGTTTGTTTCGAGTAGTTTCTGAAAATTTGGGGTAAGTTGAAATTATTTAATTATGCCTAATTTCCTGTGGGGGGAGGTGAAATTTCCATCATAATTTGAGACAAGTGGCAGTTTTGCCTCTGGCAGATTTAAATGAGAAAAGTGAATGCTGGGATGCCAAACACGTGCATGAATGCACATCTGTGCCCTTAGTCTTAATCAGCCTCTTTGTTTGGTCCCTTTTCTCCTTGTTGCCCCTGGAACAGCGGCAGTGACCCCTGCCCACATGATGCGGTGACATTTGCACAGAGCAAGGCCCACGTGCTTCTCTCTTGAATTACTGTGATGTGTTTCCCCCGCCCCCCCGCCCCGTTCTTGCAAATGGCTCCACGGGAAAGGGCCTGATCCGTAGAAAAAAGTGATCCCCCGATTGAAACAGAGGTTTCTTAAGTTTTACTGCCTACGTGCATCCGTTGATACAGCTGCCTGGGATTTCCCCACTGTGCCTCTGTCTCTGTGGATTTCCTCCTCTACGTGCTTCTCTCTCTCCTCTTTCCTCGTGCACTTCAACTCATCTCATATTCAACTGAAAGAAGGCCAAAATGAGATTCTGAAAAGCAAATCAGTCTCCAGTAAACTGATAAAATATTGATACAGGACAGGGATTGCTGAAATTGCTCAGCACATGTATTTTATTCTCCCCCCGCCACAGTATTTAAAACATCACTTTTTTAAAATGTGAACACCTTTGGACTTTGCACCTGCTTTTGTTTGCCACAATCCTCACCATTCTCTGTTGTGTTCCACACCCACCCTCCTTCATGAATTCACATTACCAGTCTTGAATTCCAAGACTTTTCCGGTCTGCCTTCCTTAGGAATCTTCTGTGTACAATTTAGAATTCTAGAGTATTACAAAAGACATCACTGCTTTGTAGATGTTTACAGTCAAATGGGAGGAGTTGTGAAAGCAAAGGGAAGAAGATATAAATACAGTACTCATTTACAGGAAGTCGTTAAAAAAAATGAGAGTTATACTCATTGCTGAGAATGGTATAAGATGCCAACTGGTAAGTCTTACTGATTTGTAAAGGAGTCAGTAGATTTTGTGTGTAACCTTGCAAATTTTGCTTGGGTAGTTGATTTTGGCTAATGGAGCTTTAGCTTGTTCATAGGGTTCTTGAATCTGTAAGATGACGTGATCATGGGTCCTTTATGTCTGTATTCTCAAGTGTCAGTCTTCCTTTCCAGTTCTTTCTTTCCATATTGTCTCCTTTACCATACTTTGTGTCCACAGGATGGCTTTAGTTGTCAGTAGTGCTACTGACATATCTGCCTATGGAATTCTCTGGACTATTAGTGCCAAAAATGGAACACTTTAATTGTTTCCTCTTTTAAGAAAACCCTCTTGTTCTCCATTTCCCAGCAGATATCTGGAGTGATCACTCCTTCCAGACTGATCCAGATTTGCCGCCTGGCTGGAAGAGAATCAACGACATCGCTGGGACCTATTATTGGCACATACCCACAGGGACAACTCAGTGGGAACGCCCCGTCTCCATCCCAGCCGATCTTCATGGTTCTAGGAAAGGGTCCCTTAGTTCTGTAACGCCATCTCCCACCCCAGAGCACGAGGTAAAATGGAGTATCTTTTTAACAGCTTAGTAGAGTGGATGTGACTTGTGATTTCTCTTTAGACTTGTTGCTTCTGCCCCAACAGGTCATCAAGGTAAGTTTTTTGATTATCATGCATGCTGCATTTGAAACCCAAAAATGTTTCCTCTTCGTGTAAATAGCCTTAATACCATCGTTCAGGGATGTTTTCATTTTCTTCGTGGCTTTTGGTCTCTTGAAAACAGCATTCTAGGTATAGAAAGTAAGGGAGGCTGATTAATGAGAAGTGGTTAAGATTCCCTGGGGCTCACTGAACCGATACTTTACTCTGCAGGTGCCCTCACATGGTGCTGCTCCATAAAATATTTACACACAGAAGAATGTCTCTTGGCCAGATGTGTTATAATTACTGCATCTCTTATTAGCCTTAGGTCCGTTTGACTGCATGGAAGGGATGTCTGCAAGAATAACCCTTGAGAGCACTTCAGTGCGTTATTTCTGTATTTTTTTTAAAGGATCTGTTTATTTAGCAAAAGTGACATGATTTTAGACATAAATAGCAGCATAAATTTCTGCTATCCCCGAGGAGGAAACGTGATGTTTAAACAAAGAATTGAGGCATGAAAAAAATTCCACTGTGGTATTTATTAGTACAGAGATTCTTGTGGTGAACCTTTGTGAATCCCGATAACAAAATATTCAAGAGTGCGGCCAGTGGAAAAGGTCACAAGTAAGCGATGGCTTTTTCCGGAAAAGTAGTTGGAATGCTAACACAGGCACGTCTGCCTATGGGACCACAGTCTTTTGTTCTTTCAACAACCCATGTTCTTTGACCTTGAGGCCTTGGAGGGGATCTAAACTGGGGGTCTCTCCCCGGCAGAACTCCTCCGTGTTCTTGTAACCATTCTCAGCCTTCCTGGCTTTGAAAGGAGGCAGTATCTTGTTTCTTACATCCGGGCTTATTGACTTGCTCTTCTCTGGGAGGCAGGAAGACCTACATTCCAAGCCCATTCCTCCTAGTACAGGGCTTCAGCATCTCCCTTCCCCAGCCTGGGTCTCAGATTCTCCGTCTTTCCAGTGACGGGTTGGGGTGAGCTCTTCCCTCCTTGAGAGGCAGGGGCCTTGGTTGGTTGGCACGTGAGCCTGATAATCAGGCACATGTTTCCCTATTGCTGAACCACATAGGATTTTGTTGCTTATCAAGGGGCAGCTTATGGTAACTTTTTATTGAAGTATCATGTTCCTCTTCGCTGAGCAAATTCCGTTCAGTTACTCATCTTGTCAGGTGCGCTGGGGGACAAAGATGAACCTCAAGGAGCTTAGCATGACATGGAGTCCTCCTCCGATCCCAGCCTAATTGTGTCTTGGCATTATCCCCTGGGCCTCCGAGTGGCCTCCCAGAAGCCGAGCCAGCCAGGACACCACCTCTGCTCTCTTTTTCTCACCCGTACATCCTTTCTCTTGGCATCTTTGTTAGACTCTCTTTCTCCATTCCAGGGCTTTGTTCCCCTATTTTAACCCTTTAACCATCTTCACATGGGAGTACCCTACAACCAGGGAATGCTAGGATGGGAAAGGGTCAGCTGATCCCAGGATCCGTACATTACAGACAAGGAAACTGAGGCGCAGACAGGCCAGTGACCGGCGACACCGCTGGGTCTAGAACTCAGAGATCCTGAATGCTCCTGAATCCTAGGCCAGGGTTGTTCTCAGTCCACTTCCCTGGCTTTGAGATTCCGGCCTGCGGTGCTTTCTCATTGTCCCAGAAGTTAGATGAGATTCCCTGTGAGATGTCGCTTTCGTCCTGGGAACCTCTTGTCCTCTGTGTGTAGAAGAAATGAAGTTCTTCTTAAAGCCTGCCTCCTGAGGCCGAGGTGCGGGTGTGGTGAAGTCCAAGGAGGGCAGCCCAAGGTTTATGGGACTTGGATTTTTATTTCTTCGATGAATATGGCAGGTTTTCATTTCCACGTTTTCTGCAGAAAACCTTGGGAAGAATGTGTCACAGGTAGGCAGCTGGCCCTGGGGAGGATGGTCAGGCAGCAGAGTCCACCTGTAGTCCCTGAGCCTCCTCCTGACGCCCACATGGGCCTGTTCTTCCCCTTCTCTACACCCGCCTCCCATCCCTGTCCTAGCTACCTCTCAGGGCCCCTTCCCAGGCTCAGACTGTGTCCCATGGCCCTCGCTTCCTGCTTCCTCTCCGTGGGTTCAGTGTTCCCCTAACGTATCCACAGCGCTCAGGGTCCCTGCTGCTATTCATGATTTAGTGTGGCTTTCAGTGTATTTTCATAAATGTCATCTCATTTGTTCCCTTCAAGACAGAGAGGACAGCTGATATGTTCCTTACTTAAGAAAAGAGTTAACTAAAGCTCAGTGAGTTCAGTAACCGTGCAGCTGATGTAGGAGAGGCATGTGTCTAGTTCTCAGACTCTGGATCGTATGCTCTGCCCCTGGGACTATGTGACTTTCTACCTTGCCGTCCGTCTGATGCCTCTCTTCTGCTATTGACCATGCCATTGTGTTGACCCTTATCCCTCCAAGGAACTTTGTTAAAGGACGCATCATTTTAAGTTTCAGGGAGAGAGAGAGAGCGCCACTCCTATCCAGCACTTTAATAGACCAATGGACTAGATGTTCTTCCGATCAGCCTTTTGATTGTTCACTTCATTCACATTTTCCCCGTGTACGTAGGCCATTATGTCCCAGAACCAAGCACATTTAAAAGACTATGTTAAAATCCTAGAAGCAAACGTATGAGCATGTAGAGAGAAGAGGACAGAGGGTAGGGGAAAGACCCAGCCTGCCGTATGTATACCCAGGACGTTTAGACGCTGACATGGATATTAAACCAGAGGTACCAAAGGTAATGGAGTGTTTATGGTGTCAACCTCGTGCCTTATCCCGTGACTCCTAATAGAACCCTACGCATCGGTACTGTCGTTGTCATTCGCTTTTTACATTTGACAACACTAAGACTGAGAGGCAAAGCTTGCTTGAGGTCACACACCTATTAGTGGAGGAACCAAGCTTCAATGAAGGTCTGCTGACCCCCACCCCTCCCCACCCCAGGTTTCACGGTTCTGTTTATCAGTGGGGCTTGGCGAGTCTCACGGCTCTTCATCTCAACCCAAGGGCAGGCAGTGTCCTATGCAGAGCCTTCTAGAAAATGACTTCTCTTGATAACATTGTCTCAGGTGCTAATGACAGTGGAAGAGAAATGATTATTTCCCTGACACCATTTCTTTGATCTCTAAATAGAATCTATTTCATACTAGTTTGGAACCATGAGAGAAAGCAAAATGTTAAGGACGAGAAGAAACTTGTAATATGTCATGTTAGAAATGCATATTTTATTCAGCTTTTCCCCCGAGCTCATTTAGGGGGAAAAAAAACAACCCAAATCTGTTGACTCTGCTTCACGAAAGTTTTGTACTGAAAGCTTCCTTACAGTTTGAAAATTTTACATTTCACATTCCAGAGCTCACCAGGGAAGTGCTAAGCACAGTGGATAATGTTTCTTCTGTGCACGCCAGCAGTATTTTCTAAAGTTTATAAACAGGCCAGGAAGCATTTGCTATTAAAATTGGGCCCACAGTGATCTCCCCCTCCCCTCCCCAGTCCATCGATTTGTTCCAAATTACTTGGATGTCGAATTTTAGAGAGAAGAAAGGAGCTACACTAAGTATTTTTATGAATCACTGTTGGCCTGTAGGCAAGTCTTGTCTTATAATGTTTCCAACTGAAGGTGTTTCCCGGTTCCTTAAGAAGAGAAGTATGGAGGAGAAAGTGCGTTTGGAGCAAGGGGATGGGGAATTGTTTCTCAGAACTGTGATCTTGATCATAATTCACTCTGTTCTTGCTACATTACTCCTGGGGTCTGTCAGGGCCCTGAGCTGCTAACTCCCTAGGAGGGGAAATTCCGTGTATTACATTAGAACCTGTGGAATTTCATATATATTTAAGAAATAAGATGAAAACACAAAGGAGCTATTCTGTCATCTTTTTTCTGAACTCTTGACCCAATCAAGTAATCATGACTGGCGAGAACCTTCAAGAAGGGCCTAGTGAATGCTATGGCAGTGTTTCTCAGCCTGTGAGCCAAGGCCGGTGGCCAAGGTGACCTCTGAGGCATGTAGAATATTTTGATTCCTTGGTCCCTACCAGAGGCCACTAAGCTAGATTCTCTACAGGTGGGACCTGGAAATCTGCCTTTATCATAAGCTTTCCAGGTGATTCTGTGTGGAGTAAGTACAAGAGCTGGCCCTCTAATGAATCTAGTATCCCTATCTTTGTTTATATTTCACTTCTTCTTTGGACCCATCCCAGCTTCTCCTGGGAATTACTGCTCTCATCCCTCCACTTTGAGAGCCCTTTATTCCATAGTGTCTTTTTTATAGTAGCATTACTTGTGGCATGTCAGTCTCCCTCCTTGGGGGGGAGTGGGGGTGAGGACCTGTTCCCCCTCATCTTGTGTCCCCAGCACCTGGCACCGTGTCCAGTACATGGTGAAGCTCATTATGTGTCTGCTGAAAGAAGGAATAAACCAGTGTCGTAGCTGAGCAAGTTCTTAGTTGACTTGCTATAGCAGCAAAGCCAGCACCAGAGCCCTGGGTCTCCTGACCCTCCTCTGGCTCACAGAGATGAATTTAATTGCACACGTATTTGGCAATCTGTTTACTAGTTTAACTCTTTTTTTTTTTTTTTACTTCTCTGGGTTATGTTTGCGTGATAAACCATCCACCAAAACACAGAAAGCATTTAAAAAGAAGTTAAAAAATGTGCACACATCTATGGATTCAGTGCTCATTAACATCACCTGGCCTATTCCTTAGAGTTCCGAGATTCTGGGTGCTCTGCATTTATCATCAAGGCCACACGTACCGAAGCTCAGGTCTTGGCAGAAGAGGATTAAGAAGCATAATTCATAACACTTTATAGTCCATAGGTCCCCCAGTTTTTTATTCTTACCAATGGCCATTTTTTTTCCTCCCTGGAAAGAGAGAGCCAGAGGATAGGGGAACTGCCATGTCTTGGGCACCTTCAGGCAGGCGGTCCCTATGCTAAGGGTAACGCTCTTGATCTCAGTTTGTCCACACTCTGATGGTGAGGTCTTCCTATTAGCCCTGTTTCTAGATAAGGAACTGAGGTCACAGACCAGATGAGAGCAGAAGCAGGATTTGAACCGGGCTTTGCAGCAGAACTTCTGAAGTTCACGCACATGGAGGTGATGTTTGTAACTTCTGTCAAAGTCACTAGGGGACGTTCTTTTGCTTTCCTCTCTGCCTGGTTCTCAGCAGGTTCACCCTCCATGCTTGCTCTCCAGGTTACATTTTGATACCACTTCTTAGAAGCTTTCTCGTCCCCCTGGACCCATCCTCAAGAGCTTGCTGTTGACATCGTCCACTCCAGTGTTAGCTTTTTTTTCAGCACAAGGACAGTGTATCACTTTCATTTGATTTGTAGAATTGCTTTCTGAGATCCCAGAAGAGAAAAAAGGAAGAAGAAAATCCTTCATAGTCAAGGTTATACAATTGGATTCCCTTAGTGGGTCCACCCTCACACAGATTCTGCTGTATGGTCACAAAGGGCACCATGCTGAAAGGTCATGAAGGGTCATGATAAGCACCATGCTTCAGGGGCTGGGTCATTCCCCAGGGACACCACCACCTCTGAGGAGCTAAGGCTCCAAGGCTCTCCCAGAACTCGGTGTGATCACTTTGATCAGGGGAAGGGGTGCTTCACCTGGTCAAGGTCAAGAAAAGCACCAGGAGAGTATGTCCCCACCTTTAACTCTGGCCCCAGAACATTCCATTGTGCAAAGATTTAGCTGCATTGCCTGAAAGATTATCAGTTGGGAGGTCATTGCTCCTGGAACACGGTCTCTGTTCTTCCTTGACTAGGCTTGTCCCTGTCCATCATCTTTGTCCTTCCTGAGGCCCAGTGCCCACCTGCTCTTCCCTCTCTCACTGTCTCTTTGTCTCATCTCTTCTTTCATCTCTCACTCCCGCCATCGTGCAGACTACAGACTTTCTGTAGAACCAAACAATCTCTTTGGGTTGTCTTAAAAAAAAAAAAAAAAAATGATTAGCTAGAATGTTGTATTCTCTCTTTTAAAAAAAAAATTAGATGAATAGAATATGTGGTTATTAAAACTCAAGACAGATTTTGTTCCCCTTAATTTTTTTAAAAAAGAGAAAAATTATGGTCACTTCTATAGGCAAGAGAATTTCTAAAAATGAGAGCTTTTAGTTATAGGAGGGAAAAGGGTCTTTTGTCCTAGTCCTAACATAGGTTCTCGTAGCCCATACTTGAGTTTTGTACTAAAGAGTTTCTTTAAGAGTCCCCATGTTATTTTAGCTTTTGAAAAATTGCTTTATACGACTTTTGTTTATTTAACTCCATAAGAGGTGATTGTTGGAAGTTTGCCAGCTGACTCATGTCTCCGTAGCATAAGAGTTGGATTCATAGAATTTTCGAATTATAATCAACTTTTACATTACAGGGACCCAACATAAATACATTAAAAAAAATGTTTTTTAAACCATATACGCATACAGAGAACTATTTTAATTAAATGCTGAAGACTTTTCTGAATACTTGTTTTGAAAAAATACTCTTTCTGTCCTGTCCCCACACCGCACCTGTTGTGGATGATTTGATTTCAGATTCCTCTTGTCAGACACCCACTCTTTTTTTTTTTTTCAATTTCTCTATGAGAACATAATTACCTGGAGTCTTACTAATTCACCATCTGATACCCTTTTTTAACATTCAAGTTTAATGAAAAAACAAATAGTCCTCACATGTAAACTGTGATGATGATTTGGGATCAAATAGGCTTATTTTCCTTTAAAAAAGAAAAAAAGAGATTCTAGCTTAAAATTCTTGACATTTCAGGTCCTTATCGTATGAGTCCCCCTGCAAGGGTGATTCTAAACCTTTCTCGGTCACCGACCCCTCTGGAAATATGGGAAGAGTGGGGGATCTTCTCCCCAGGAAAACGCACACGCACAGAACCCCAGCCCGATTTCAGGGGGCCTCCCAGGTCTAACTAACACGTTAAGACCCTCCTGTGTTAGGAATTTTCTCCTCAGTGAAAACTGAGCACTGCTTTGGCGGATGGAGTACAGAGGCGAAGGGCTAGGCAGCACTCCTGCTCTTTTGCTCAATAAAAGAGATTATTTTTTAAAAAGTAGATACAGTGGTGTAAGTTCCACTTTATTTCGAAAAACTGCAGTTTGGGTGCTTAGTCCAAAAAGGAAAGCGACAGTGACACCAGCTGTGCAGTGGTGACGAGAGATCTATATTTGCAGGGACTCCGCGCTCGTCGCGTCCTGCCGAGTTAAAGGAACGCCTGCCTCTTCCAACGCTCGGCACATCTGGACTTCTCTGCCTCTGCTCTGAGTGGGTTTCAAAATTATACTAATGTCGTGAGCAGAGATCATGGGTCCCCCCCATTCCCGTCTCATTTTCAAAACACTTTAGTTGAAAGGCGACTGGAGCAAAAAGTCTCCGCTGTTGATTTATTATCCGAGGAAAGAGGTGATTCACCTGACACATCCGTGGAACGCATTCATAACCATGTCCCTGGGTTTTGTTTGCTTCATTTATTTCCCCAAATGTTACATGAGAAATATCTGGATATTCACCCACTGTGGTAGAAAGGAAAAACAAAAAAAAACCCAACAACATTGCCTGTTGTCTGAGGGCAATGGAAGGGCTGTTTAGATTCATAGATCTATTCTGAGCGGTCTCCCAACAAGGCAAGGTTTCGTGCTTTGTTCTAGGATTCTGCTTACAAAATCATTTTGTGATCAAACACTCCTTGTGTGGCAAGGAAGCAGAGCTTCTTATGAACTGGACGAATTTACATGAGACTGTGGAGAGCTGTTTTTGGTCAGTTAAATCTCGGCAGATGTGGACGTCCGGCTGCGGTCCTTCCTCTCCCTCCTACCCTTTCCTTGTCCTTTTCTCTTTTACGTGAAATAGTTTGAGCCCCAGGTTCTTATGCCCTTGACCGGGGACATTCCCCCGTTTTCAAATCCTCACAGTGACAGGTACCATCCCTAATCCTGCCCCCATCCCCAGAAGACAGTTCTGTTTGGTTACCGGGAGAGAGAAAGTTTCCCGTGGTATTAGGTCCACTAGGCATTTAGTCTGTGAGCTTAAGGCCACGTCTAGAAGATCTAATACCAACTGCTAGCGGTGGTCAGTCATTTCCGTGGTAAGTAACGCGAGCACCATCTCTCTCCTCCGGCCCCAGGCTTCAGGTGATAATCTAGATCTAGAGCCAGCTAACCAGTTGCTGGTAGAGTGAATTTGTTCCCTAACCCGTCCTGTGAATATCAATGCTAACAACAGTGTCTTGTGTTTTTTCTTTTCCTCTTTTCCTTTTTTTTTTTCTTTTAAATCAATGTGCTTTTTCCTATGTGAATAATTATGTCTAGAAACAGCCATGGAGTGATTTTGCTGTTCTGAATGGGGGAAAGATTAATAGTGACATTTGGAAGGCAAGTATATTGTCAGATTCTAGATCATTTAATATTTTGTCCTTTCTGCATGGCTGTGGCTGTATCTTTTTCTTCTTCATGAATATCATCCATTCTGCAGGGACGCCGTGATGGGGCTTGTTAGGAATGCCCAGCTCAGACACATGTTGCTTTTTTTTTTTTTTTTTTTTGATGTGTCCTTTTGTGAATGACTTCAAGCTGACTGCCCCAGGTCCCCTGTTTCTTGTAAGAACCCGGGGCTTGCACCGAGCCAGCATCCAGCAGCCCTTGCATGCCCTTTTTCTGCCTAAGCTCACATACACTCTCTGCCTCATGCCGGGAGGACTTTTCTCCCCTTTGATATTTGAGGCCAAGTCAGGGGCCCTCCCCCTTTCTCCATTAACAGGGATCTATTTTCCCCTAGGATTTGCATGCAGCCACAGTTAACCCGGACCCCAGTTTAAAAGAGTTTGAAGGAGCAACACTCCGCTATGCATCTTTGAAACTCAGGTAAGACATGGGAAGGACCTGCCATAATGTGTGGCTTCGTGCAGCTAGAGTTTACAGTAGAATTCTAAGTCCAGTTTTCTGTTTTTCTTTCTAGAAATGCCCCACGTGCTGATGATGATGATTCTTGTGGTATCAATAGTGACCCAGAAGCCAAGGTTTGTAAGAAACGTGCTTTCAGCAGCCAGGTTATGTTCTTGCATCGAAGTAATGGCTTTGGAAATGGCTCAGTTTTTATAAACTGTCAACCCAGAGCCACTGACTAAGGAATTATTCCTCCATCCTCTCTCTTTGCTAACTTCCCCAACACTTGAAATAAATCCCTAGGCCACGTTAGGTTTGGGAGGATTTCCATAACCATCAAGACTGTGCCAGTATCTCACTACCTCAGTTCTTTGCACAAAGTAATAAGTTACAATTATTGTCCAAGTGAGTGGGCTTCAGAAGCCTTGCAGAGCAATGGGAGGGTCTCTCAACAGGTGGTACCAGGCTCCTCACGCCCACGTCTTCCAGAACAGCCTCACACCTGCACCATCTCTCTCAAACACAGGCCTGATTTATGATGGGTCCCATGCCTGGGCTTTCATGTGGTGTGGTCGCCATCTTGAAATTCTTAATACTCTTATCTTTGGATTTGTGTTTTTGTAAGCGACATCCAATGGGGCGATGCACCAGGGCGTTGGAGCCTTGGTTTAGGAACAGTCCTGCTATCTCCCTACCTCCCTGAGACGTTCTTGACTGCTCGTTCCCCTCCTCCTCAGCACCTCAGGCCCTGCCACACGTCCTCATGCCTGCCTCCAACCAGCAATCACTGCTGCTAGTAGGGGCCTCACTGGGAGCATGGGGCGGGCTGGCTTGGGACACACATGCTCCCATGGCATCTCGAGAGAGGGCAAAGTAGTGACCTACCCAGCCCAGGCTGACAGCGCAGCGGTGTGTTGGTGGGGGACAGTTCAGCCCACTCCCAATCCGGGTACCTGGTGTGTTGTGGCACAGGTGTTGTGGTATACTTGAGGGTCACCTATCTGCTGCGCCTCAGGGTAGGGGAGATGGGTCCACGGGAAAGGGGTATTCCTGACTCAGTTTCCCCATTCCTGGCCAGGGCGTGGGCGCATCAGTCCAGCAGCTCCGGCGATGGAGAACCCAGAAGGTGTTGGTCCCTGGCAGTGGGCAGGGCCCCTGGACATTTGTGAGGGTCTGCGCTTACCCTGCAGGTGTCCCGTGCCCAAGAGAGCATGACTTTAAATACCAGGGAAAACACACCGTAATGAGTGAAGAGAGGGAATGCAGAAGAAAGGCAACAGTTTTGTTTCAGCCCTTTTTATGGCAATTTTTCCCCTGCCTTTTGAACAGGGGCTCTGCGTTTTCATTCTGCATATTACCTTTCCATTTGCAAATTATGTAGCTGGTCCTCGATATTTTTTCTCACTCCCAAAGCAGATAGGTGTCTGTGAATAAAACAGCCAGTAAGCCCCCTTAGTAATAGTTAAATGGGGAAACACCATGCAGTTTCAAAACCTTGACTCCTCGGCTAGAAACTGCCATGCCACCATCAGGGCTGTGGGAATCGGGGCCCGCAGTTGAACACCCGCCCTCGCCGCTGCTAATCTGCCCGGCAACGTGCTCAGCACAGATGAAGGCCATCCCCAAGCCAGTGGCATCCTGAACAGGTCCGCGGGCTGCTAACATGCTGGTCTTTATTTTATTTTTTTAAAGATTTTATTTATTTGAGAGAGAGACAATGAGAGATAGAGAGCACGAGAGGGAAGAGGGTCAGAGGGAGAAGCAGACTCCCCGCTGAGCAGGGAGCCCGATGTGGGACTCGATTCTGGGACTCCAGGATCATGACCTGAGCCGAAGGCAGTCGCTTAACCAGCTGAGCCACCCAGGCGCCCAACATGCTGGTCTTTAAAGATAAGTTTTATGGCCGTGAGCGGATACAGTAAAACAGGAAGGCGGGATTCATTTGCTCAGCACCCAGGTGTTTTACAAGGGTTATCGGCGGAGGCTGGAGGCGGAGGGGGGAAGGGCTGGGGAGTGATGGCCGCGTGAAATTGATGAGAGTGGGCGGGGAGGGGTGAGGCAGGAGGGGAGGTGGACTTGGTTACCAGGAACAGGAGGCCTGGTTGAAACATGACCCAAGTTGTGCTTTCTCTTTTTACCTCCCAGTGGTCCTGTTCACTGAATTCTTTATCTGCCCCTGGTAGTGCCTGCGTGTCTGTTCCAACACCTCTTACGAATTTGTCCCTGTTAATAAGGAGGTTCCGTGTTGCCATAAGTTACCGAAGCTGGACTGAGTTCTAAACAAAAAAGTACATGTATGGTATTATTTATTTTATATCCTACTTTGTTTTATGGAAGGTCTTGGAAAACTTATGAGAACAAATGCGTTTTGTTTTTTTTTTTAAGGCACAGAATATGTAAAGGGATAATCAGTGCATCTGTCTGTACTGGGATAATAGACAAGAGTCAGAAGAGATTAGGCCAGCGTGATGCCTGGGTGGCTCAGTTGGTTAAGCATCTGCCTTCGGCTCAGGTCGTGATCCCAGGGTCCTGGGACTGAGCCTGGCATCAGGCTCCCTGCTCGGCGGGGAGCCTGCTTCTGCCGCTCCCCCTGCTTGTGCTGTCCCTCTCCCCTCTCTGACAAATAAATAAATAAAATTTTTTTAAAAATGTAAAAAAAAAAAAAGATCAGACTAGGGAGAAGAAAAAAAATATGGCTTTTCAGATGATAGGACTCTGCACAGTTATGGAAATTGACCTGCGGGTTCATTTTTGTGCCTCTTGGTGATTATTTACATCGAGGATTCTTAGGGTGGATAGCACAAATCCCTAGGACAGCTCAGAATCCTGAAAAGATGTTGGCAACCAACCCCACCCGCCCTGGATTTTGAAGGTCCTCATGCTGTCATTATCATTGTTGAAGACCCCGCAGCACAGTGGGAGGGCAGAGGGTTTTAGAACCCTATGTCATATGAATCACGATGTGCATGAGGCAGAAGCCTCCCAGTCCTGATGGTATGTAACCGTTTTTCTAGTGCTTCTTTATAAAGTAACTGTAATAATGAATATTTATTGTTAACTTTTTGCTAGGCATTGTCCTTAAGACTTTATTTCTGCTGGCTCTCATCCTCACAGAAATTCAGTGGCCTAACTATCATTATCTGTATGTTGCAGATGAGGAAACCGAGTCATAGAAGGTTAAGCAGCTAGTAAGTAAATAGCATCAGGATCTGAATCCAGGCCATGTAGCTACAGAGCCCAGGCTCACTAGACTTGGAGAAAAAAAATTCCTTACACATTGCAACTTTGAAAGTTGCTAAGAGAGTAGATCTTAAAAGTCCTTATCACAAGAACAAAAAAATTTGTAACTATGTATGGTGATGGATGTTAACTAGACTTATTTTGGTGATCATTTTGCAATATATGCAAATATTGAATCATTGTGTTATACACCTGAAACTAATTTAATGTTACATGTCAATTATACCTCAATTTAAAAAAAAAGGAAAATTCTCACTTGGAGCCCTACTTAGGGGCAACCACCAAATGATGTGTCCTCAATAATATTCCAACTATATGTAGATATATGGAAATTTGGGTTTTGTCCGTCGGTATTTCATAGTATTACTCATTGGAAGCAAAGGACAAACACCCAAGCAAAACTCATTTCAAGTAAAGTGATAGAAGGTTACGACAGTGTGGCCTCGCTTGCTGGTCTGACTTGAGGCGGTGATGAACTGGACTTTAGAAGTGGAAGGGATGGGCTGCAGGGTGTTTTAAACCCTCCTGTAGTAGTACGATTTCAGTGAGGCTTATGGTCAAGGTTGGGCCTGGAACAGGAGGAAGCCAAGGGGGCTGGAGTGGAGATAGGCTGCATCGCTGTTGATTGGCAGATCTACACACTTTCATTCACCGTGGACACAGCAGGGTTGACGTTCCTTTGAGGCCATTGAGGAGTCTGGCTGTGCTTCTCTGGATGAATGCATGGTCACACTACCTCCCAGTGGAAATGGGCACAGGAAGCCTTGCAGGGAAGGCCAAGCTGTTCTCTCAGAATTACAACCATCGTAAAATCCAGCAGCCCTAAATGAAATTATTCTTTACCAATTTTGAAAAAGCCAGGGAGCTTGGAACTGACTTCAGTGAAGTCACTTTGGAGGAGTCCCCCCACAACACACACGCACCCTCTGTCCTTTACCACCTGCCCCCTTCATTCCTGTTTAATGTCACCTAGAGCACCTAAGAAGGGAGGAGTGGCAAGACCTAGATTTTCTAGATGTTCAAGTTCTTTTGTAGAAGTAAGTTATTTCTTTAGATAACCCCGCACATTCCTTCAATCTGCCAAAAACTAGAAAACTGAGTGCCCCCCAAATAAGCGGAAAGTATCCTTTCTTTAAGAAAAAAAAAATTAATTTCATGTGCCACGGAATTATAAATATAGCCCCTAAGGGCTGATTACTAAAAAGTTATTATAGAACATATCTTTCTTCCTAAGTGAAAGTTAACATGCTAAAAAAATTAAAATCATTTTCAGGCTATCAGGATGTGGGTTTTGCAAACCCTCTCCAGCCACTGTGAGTCTGGGCGCCTTGACAATCAGTTGTTCAGTGAAACCTCTAAATAGCGATGGCAACATAAAATGACCACACCACCCCCACCACACCCACAGACACACCCACACCCACACCCCCACACGCACGTGCACACACACGCACTCAGGCACGCCTCCTTAACCCTCTCCCCAAAGAGCAAAATATTTTTATTTTTTACTTTTTAAAGATTTTATTTATTTGACAGAGCACAAGCAGGGGGAGAGGCAGAGGGAGAGGGAGAAGCAGACTCCTCGCTGAGCTGGGAGCCCGACGTGGGGCTCTATCTCCATGACCTGGAGATCATGACCTGAAATGAAGGCAGACGCTTAACCATCTGAGCCACCTGGACACCCCAAAAGCAAAGTATTTTTAAAACTCTGAAAATGTTTTTCAAGCCCACCTACTTTTTTGTACAATAATTATTTTTGTAGTTGATAGTAATGGGTGTGTTTGTGTATAATTCTGAGGTCTTCATTTTTTTTTATTTTAAAATGATTCTAGATTTACAGAAGAGTCACAGAGATTGAGTTCCCATATACCTACTTCACCTAGCTTTCCCTAAT